GAGTGTTTGTAGCGAAAGGATATGTATGTATACTGCCCTATATGTTTGGAATACTTCGAATATCTTGTATCCACAGAATGTACACAACAATCTCCAGAATATGGAGGCTGTGATATAAAATATGCAGGGCATATAAACTATAGAAAATACGGTATATGTACAAAATACACGGATTATAGAGGATATAAAAAAATGCAGGAAGTAAATGATATAGGTACAGAATATGTAAACTACATAGGATACATAAAACGTAAGTATACATACATAGGATACACAAGGCACTCCAACAGGATCAAGCCCGGATCGTTTGGCATTATCGGTACACCGAACTTCTTAATGTTCGATTAACGCCGAAGCCACCTTAATCCGACGCTGCATAATTGATAGTATATATTAGAGGAAGGCGTGACACAGCGAATTGAATTCTCTCAGTAGTGGTCAGCGATGGAGATTCGAGGTCGATCGTGACCAACGTGGGATTAGTCAGCCATGTATGGCATGTTCAATTATGACTCTCTGTGATCCTAAGCAGGACGGAAAGGACGAAAACGTCCGACCACGTTACAAACGATGCATTTGTCCGTCCTAATGCCGGGACTCGCTGCCGAATTATGGGGACAAAGGGACACGCGAACCGAGCTACTTACGGTTGGACGTATTCAATCCTGCAATTTATTAAGTCATTCTTCCAGGAAAACAGAATTTTCGTCGTCGAAATGTATTCGCGAGTTATAAAATTGCATTTCTTTAAGACAATTGTAAGATACATGGTTGAAATATATTTTTCTTTAACTGTAATCATTTTTATTAGGTTCTCTTATGTCTTCACTGTAAGCACTCATAAAGCTCAGTTTACTTGTTCAGCAGTTATAATTTATTGAAAAAAGGTTGACACTCTATACAGTTGTAAACCCAATAATTTTTAAATTTTCTAAAATCCTTCGAAATACATTTACATACCACTAAAGACAGTAACATATCCAAATTTAACAAAAAATCCAACCTATTACTCCAAAAAGTGTCCTATTTCGCGTGGAATGATCTCTATCAAATTTGCCTGCTTTTAAATCGAAGTAGAATAATGAAATGTCCATTTCCACTTCGAGAAATCACAACTCGGATAAAAAATTCGGACATCAATGATTTCTTCCGATAAACTTCCCTCGTATCCAACTGAAAATTAATTTCGCTTCTGTATCTTGGTACTCTCGGGTTCAACGTGGACGGGTATATCGGCCGATATCGTTTTCCACTCTTTTCATCTACTTTCGCTCGTGGATTTCGACCGTTTCTCGGTGAAACGCCCCGAACACGAGGATTCGAATTACATCGACGATCGTGGCGAAATGTTATTTCCTCTCAGAGACATCGCCGGCCCTGACGGACCTCTTTCACGATCCGCGGATAAAGGCGGGCGTAATTTCGCGCGATCAAAGAATCCCGTCGTCTATTTATACGTCCACGGTGGCGGTTTGGTGAAGTGTTCCCGGGGTGAAAGTAAATAACGATAAATATATTCGACGGGTCATAAAACCGAGTCCGCTTCCGAATGATCTTCCGAGCGTGTTGGGAAGTCGTTAAACGAGTCTAGGTGTGACGAACAAATGCGAGGTGTCACAGACACAATCGAGTGTCTGGTCTATAAAAGAACTGAGGATTTAGTGTCGCGTATAGTGTAACTACAGCATTCTTTAAACGTTTCAGGAACTGAACAATCAAGCTCTTTCTGCACGAAATATTATATTAAAAAAACATTAGTTATGAACAAAGATGATTTTAAATAAAAATTGTAATTATCAACTATTTTACCGAAGATTTAATCCTTTTACAACCTTTTATCTTCTAATGTCCTAATGATGTTAAAATCCTTTAAACAAAACTGTCCAGTTGCGATTAAATTTAATCTATTATAACACGCGTAATGACTGCGATTTCAAGGTAGAAAGTTTTTCTTTCGCCTTTATTTTTAGCTCGAAATCCATGAAACTACGATTAAACAATTTTCTCGACTGTCCTGTTCCGTATTCCAGAAGTTAATATACAGAGAACAGAAAAAAGAAGCTGCCGAGCGAACTGTCTATTATCGTAATACAGAGTGTAACGGCGAGAGGTGACTGTTAATTAACAAAGAAAGACGCCAGAGACGGATGGTCGGGGTAGTCAATTGCACAACATTTCCTCAAGCTGTTGGCGACGTATCTCACGAAAGGGAAGTATTATAAATACAGCCGGCGGCGCGGAGAGGTGGCTCGATATAAAGGATCGTTATCCTGGTGCCAGATAACGATGTATACTCGTCTTTCAGGGCTTCTCTGCGGCCGATCCGTCGCACGACAATCCATCACGGAAGGCACATTATCAGCCATCGTGTCCACCACGATAACAACCACCACGTCGTTGTGGTTCCCGTTCTCGCGAGGACCATAAATTCCCTTAATAACCGATTATTATTGACACCCGGCCGCTCAGAAAAATTATTCCCTATCGCGTTTCGGGGGCGTGAATTAATCCTCGGGATGATCCATGAAAATCTGAAAAACTGTGGTGTCACTTTGCATCCTCGTATCGATCTCAATCCTCTATGATCGAATACCTTTGCAAAATGTGATCTCATCTTGTTAAATTGTAATTGATCTTTACTACGGAAACAATACATCAATATGTAATCACTGTCTATCGTTCATGTATCACTCGTGATATCGGGTCAACTGTATTAGGTTATTAACGGAGATTAACAAACGAGTGTGAACTACTGCAAACATTAGAAAAGACGATTAGATGCAAACAAGCATGGTTCACCTTGTAGTAGTTAAAAAATAATAGTTTATGTTTGTTTGCGTTCGTTCACGCTCGTTTGTGTTCGTTTATGTTCGTTTGTATTTGTTTGTGCACGACCGACGAGTGTAGACGTGACGATTAGAAGCAGTCTCAATTTGTGCATACAATTAAAAACACATCAGGCCCAAAATTCCATTCACGACATTAACCAACTAAAAATTCTACCCCATTTCTCGAGTCTCATCACCCCCGCGTATAATAAGTTCCTTCCGGCCAACAAAACCACCCAAACAATCTCCCATTCGGCGCTAATAATTTCCGGAAACAGTGAGCGACTCGTTCGACGGCCCGGTGACAGAAGTTAAACGAATTCTCGGACCCATCGGGTGGCAAAGGACCCGCGTTTGTATGCGACCGCCTCGATTCTGAAGGGCTGTGGCAGTTTGAATGGGAGCGCACCTCTCTCGATACACAAACAGGCGCGCTGCTTTGTCTGTGCGCGGTATAAACTCGCAATAACTCGCACCTGTTCTCATGGTACCAGACGTATATAACCCACTGTAATGGCCACAGGAATAGTTCGGGATTTTATGGGACGAGTGTTTCCGCGATGCATGCTAACGCTTTGTACTTTCCCTGTGAATTGTTCGCGTGTACCTATGCGCATACGTGTAACGCTTGGCTTCTGTATAGGAATCGAGCCATGAAACGCAGTGTCGTGTAACGCAGAGGCGAATTCTAACCGCCAACCGTGTCCCTTATGGCTAGCGCACAACTTTTATATCCACTGTGACGATGATGCCTCCCTGTTCCCCCACTTTATATACTGTCCCACAGCGAGTTATCGAAGCTATTCTCCTCACCTCCTCCCGTGCAACAATATTCCTAGGTAATTTATACCGTTTCGCGTCTGGCAAACGAGAAACGTTCTCACATTTCCGAACTGGCTCCGCTGACGCAACACAGGCTTGTATGTGCGTGTATAGCTTCGACAGCGGAGCTGTTCAACGTCTCTACATCGATTCCGCGCGGCATTAATTCCTCCAGGCGCCGTTCGGGAATTCATTTGCTAGCTGTCTTAGTCTCGTCTTCGCGAGGTACTGGAGATTACGCGTCATGAAGTTTCTCAGAGAAGCCATGAACATCACGGTTTCTGTTTCCAAAGGTTTTTCGGCGATTATTTTTAAAACGATGTTACGTATACGTGAATACAGATAGGTATTCAACTGTCCAACGGAGATAATCAAAGTTTCTTTGGGGTTTTTTTTTCACAGTAACTCGTTCAATTTAACTATTCATGCCCTAGGTCAAGACCTGGATTAATTATTTTCTCAATTGATTGCCATAGACTGTAAGTGTCCTAACTCAGGGCCTAAATTCACTACACCTTCAATTTAGTGTTCTAAACTCAAATGTTTTGAATTTGAAAGATTCTTAAAAAAAAAAAAGACTAAAGGTTATAACTAAAGTGAAGTGCTCAAGGATAAGGATAATGATCTTGGAAAATGTTTACGAGACATTACGACGATAATTTCGTCCGCGGTGGTTCATTATCTGTCGTCATTGTCTCGAATGCTGCACTCGTGGCGAAACACGGGGAAAATGCAGGTCGTGGACGCATTACTCCGCGAATCGGCGGAAATTTCGCCGATGAGCACTTTCGAGGACCGCGGCGAAGTTGGAAAAAAGCCGATGGAATAACAACCGCCTGGTTTTCGAGCTCGCGATGAACATTTTCTTCGCTCTATCCCGTGACAATGGTCGTGTAATTACTTCGTTTGAAATTTTGAAATTTTCTGGGTATATACTACACACGGTCACGAATTCCATACGTGTCCTCCATCCGATGGACAATTTAGAATATTAAGGTATGCCGCATTCCCTGTGAAATCGTTATAAAGTTAATGAAGGAATTCGACGGACTCGATAAACCGCGAGAATTCGAGTGAAATCGTTTGAAACGATGTCGCCTCGTTCCTCGATCGATAGTAATTTCGGCGATGTTTGAGTAACTTCCTAGAAAAATCTTTCATTTGGAAGTCTCGGTGACTGACAATGGAAGAGACGCCTTGTCAAAGGATCCTTTGTTAACCACGGATTAATTCGAAGTTCGAGTATCGTAGAACGAAAACAAGATTTACGGGGATATCGAACGGGGAATCTAATTTCGAGGACGGATTGGTTGTTGGTTTCGATAATTAGAGAGTTTTGGTACAGCTTACCCCATCCGGATGATATTTCGGCGCGCCGCTGGGCGTTGTGTTCGATCCGCAAAATTCGGTGAGGACATCTTGGAGCTTTCGCGTCGAATCTGAAACAATGGTGCCGAAACTGAACTTTGACATTTCGAACGTGTACCGTTTCGTCGAGTTAAACACGATACGGTGAAGGACTGTCCGACTTCGATTGTAACGGGGTTTTGTAGCGATGATAGTATAGAGAGTTTAAATGTTATATGTAAAATATTAGGGGTAGACATTCGATAATTTGAAAAATATAAACAATTAAAGTTACGTACCTTTAAGAGGTAACTATGAACATACAATCTTCGATGAGTGTACGAGGCTTCTCAGCACTCACCATTAAATATTTTATGAATTAATGGCCATATGCGACTGAAACAAATATCATTGGCTTCAGAATTCCAAGATCACTGTGCTAAACTTTTTATTTATTTATTGTAAGTCAAATTTATCGAAGTATAAGGATGTTTGACTGGTAAATCGGAGGTCCTGGGATCGATTTCTGTTCACTGAAATAATCTTGTTCTACTTTGTCAACGTCAACTTCGATAACTTTGAGTTATAGGTACTCATAATATTCCTCGAAGTTTCGTAACTTTAATTGCTTATGCCTTCAAAATTATTGAATATCTACACAAAACCCTGTTAAAATCGAACTCTGGCAGTTGGGGTCCTTCCCTCGTCAGATCATTGTAATAATAAATGAATTATAATACGATACACCTAACATACATAAATATTTAAATATTTCGAACCAGAAACATGTTGCAATGTACTCACGATAAGCTCACGGTTTGCTACTGCTCGTTGATAAATTAATATGTAATAGTTGTGTTTGCTATGATTGATAGATGTGTCCTTCTTGACGGCTGAATGTTTTCTGTCTGGTGGTCGTATGCGTAGACGATTCTTGCTACGTATTGGCTTGTGATTGGTTAAATGTATTTGTGTAGTGGTAAAAAATAAAGCGTTTTGGTTGGTGTATACAAAGTGAAAGAAGTGGGGGCCTTGGGGTATGTATCGTTGTCTAAGATTCCTGGAAGTGAGCGTCGAAATACAATGAAGAAATGGTCTTAGGAAAGTGAATGTTTTGTACGTGATGTGCAGCTATTCAAGGTATCCCTTTTACGACGGTTTGATTTACTTTGACCATATCGACGGTCCAAGACGCTAAGGTCGTCGCAACCGTCGCCTACCTGCGTTCAGTCGCAACAAAACACTTTTACGAGTCGAATAAGGACTCGTTCCCGTGTATCAGTAGGACACCAAATTTTTTTGTCACTTTTCTAATTAACGTTCACCCGGCGACGTGAAATTTATCTCAGCTCCGGTTTTTGTGTCCTGAAGAAAATTAATAACACAACCTAAGTTTCTCGTCTATCTAACTGCACGAGTATTCATTTATCATCCAGATAGAAAACAAGATCTTCGTTCGTAGGAAACAATTCCCCGAAACTTTCGTGGAATCTGGGCGTAATTGTAGTTATGAAAACCTGAGAGGACGAATTTTTATAGGAATCATGATAGAAACTTTAGAGAAATGTTAAGAAAGAATAAATTTTGGGAGCTTTTTACAACGATATTGTTCTTATTCAGATGCAAGAACGAATGTTTCGAGGGCCGAAAAAATGGAAGTGGACACTGTCTAACAGTTGAGCCCACCCATTTTTCTCTGTCCGGTGTTTTAATGATTGCAATGGATCGTACGGTGAGCAGAGTAGCTTTTCGAAACACCAAGGGAAAGTCGTAGAGTCATCCGGCCCCGTTGTTTATGGAATTATGGAAATTCCAGAGGCATCGTCCGAGAGGAACTAAAATTTATTCGGGCCGCGACGAGACGTGTCTGGCCACGAGATAAATTCCAAATTTCGAGAATGTATCCTTCTTGTGTAAGCCACCCTGGAATATGAGCTTAACTGGGACAGTCTGCTGATTTGGGAGACGGAATTTTGTGTATACGAGCCTCTTCAATCGAATCCCTCTATTGTTTATCGTCGAATCGTGGCGAGAAACGAATTTCGATACGGTTAGCACGAAATTCTGAACGTTTTAGGCTGATACCGATGGGAGAAAAAGTACCGAAGTACTTGAATAAGAAGAAATTCAATTCATTTTGTGTCTGGCCATTACGGACTGGATCTACTAGTACTGCTGTACTTTGAATTGCATAATAGATGTAATATTAAAAGAACAGGAGAATGTTTGATTGAAATTACATAATTTCAGTTCACTTAATGTCTGATCATGATTGCCCTTAGCTACTTACCCCTTCCTTTTTACATTTTACTTTTAACATTACACATTTCGTCAAGAAACCCAATAAATGTCTTAACACTTTGACTGCCATGTCACCGAAAAATGTTAGATTATTTAAATAGTGTTACAGAATTTTCGCGTAAAATTAATATTGCAGTATACTTTTAAAGCAAGCTTCACGACCTCTATTAACTAAACGTATATATGTTCGACGTTCTATGACTTAGGAAACGAAATAATATATGTCTGGCTACGTACGGCCATTTTCACTGTGGCAGTCAAGGTGTTAAATGACATCAAACCCTTACCGAACTGATATATTATTAATCCATTATAAATAACAAAAATAATAAATCTTTCTCGGTGGAGCAAGCAGAAATCACGTCCACGATTCAATATCCCACGGGTTTTGGTGTTTCATTTTTGCCAATGTAGTCGACAATTTCCCTTTCGATAAAGAGGGGACACAGGCGAGGACCGATTTTCTGGCGGAAGCGTAAATTTCCGTACGGGCACGTTAATCGCGCGATCCATCATCGTCCTCTTGTCAATCGACCCCCGATCCCCCCTCCCCAACCCGAAAATTGTTCCCCGTCCAAAAATATCCTGTCCGTTAAGTGCATTATGACGTCGCGTCGGGGGCGTCGGTAGATTAGGCCAATGGTCGCCTATTATTAGTCAATTCCGCGGCGTTGTTTCCTCTGCAAACAACTGAATCCGAGATGTCTGATCGATCGATCGTTTCCCGCTCGCTCATTTTCTTCCACGCAAGTAGCCCGACGATAAATCGACGGAAGCTCCGTCGTCTCTCTGTCCGCCGTTTCTTGCCGGGGCCGTTTGAGAACGGCTCGACGAACGAACCAACATCGCCGCGATATCGCTCTAATTAACGCTTCGAGCGGTACTACGCGAGCTGTTGACGTTCGTTCCTCGAGGTTTGTTTGCCGGCAGATTCAGTATTTAGGGGAGAGGTGGGATGAAAGGGACGCGTGTTGAAAGGGACATTATAAATTTTATGAAGTTGGAAGGTCTGTCCAGGACGATCGTCTTTTTGTTTTCTAGCGACATTCATGCATATGCGTTCGCGTTTAGTTTGAAGTCGTCATTTCAAGCAAGGCAGTAACGTACGATTGAACTTTTTTGACATCAAAAGTAAAACTTCTGATAGTTTCTCGAAACGTTTTGCGAAGTATTGTTATTACCGACTAACTTCTTTCTTACTACATGTGAACAGATATTTAGTCAAGAACAGTAACATGAAGTGTCCGGTATCTTTTGTTTAATACTCTGCTAATCGTTGGTTAGGTTATCAATTTTGTTACCAAATTTATTAAAGAAACACAACGAAAGTGTATGAATGGGACGAGCTTTTCATAACTGTCCCTTTCAAAACTTTACTATGATTAGGAACATTCACCGTTTTTACAGGCATTGATCGGTTATAACTAGGGTTTGATTGGAACCTAATTTTTAACTTTGTAAGATTTCGAAACACTCGAAACTTTCGAAACCCGAAACTCTCTATATTTCGTTTTAAGAGCTGGTCTCAACAATCGATCGGTTAGATTGTTCTGTTATTTGTTCTCGAAAACGTATACTGTGTTTTTAAGAGCTTACGACATACACAGCTGTCTGTTCACTGATACTCGATCCTCCACGCGACCGAGTTTGAACCGATACCAGAGCCGCGTGAGCCCGGAGTTTCACTTTTTACTTACAAGCTGCCAAGTCCTGGAGCTGTTGGAATTCCGCTGGTGATAGCTTATCCCAGTGAAAGGCCATCTCTTACTTCTGCTCTCGATCTCCCACAGGACGAACGCCCGGTCGATGAATGCTGAAGATCGTCACCTGTAGACAAAAGAACAACAACTGATTAGGATATGTTCTTCCGAATCTTATTGTCATAAGTCGTACAAGGAACCATTGTATTAATTTGTATTCATTAATAGTACATAGATACGTCTGTATTTTTATAAAACTTTGATACACTCTGTTATATAAAGATTACTTATGATAAGAAACTTGGCCGTGGAAAGCAGTAATTTACTTATATAAAAGCGATTTATGGAATGATTTGAGATTAATAATTAAAAACAATTCTCTCTAAAAAGAATTCTCCAATTTCCAAAATATTTTTAATGATATTGTATTGTAATATTATTTCACAGCAAACATTCAATGAGTTTATTGTTATTAGTCGAGCAACAAAAATTTTAATTAAGTTAAAATCATATCAGAATATATTTTAACTGCACTGTAATACTGTAAATGTTCTACACAGACTGTCTACACATTCCTTCAGTCCCAGAATATTTTTAACGAACCCCGATCGAGAAAGTTCCCCGGTATTTATTTTAATTCCCCCTTCTAATTAGAGGCTGTTCCATTACTGTACTTCACTCCAGGGTATAACATAGTCGTGCCTCAGAAACGAACCTCGTTCCCTTGAACTTAAAATTATCGAATGAACCTCCACAAACTTTGTAAGAAGTGGTTCTTGATTGCCTGATCAAGATACACAGAAGCTACCCAAAAGATTAATCAAGGACAAACGATCCACGAGTACCATCTTTCTCCTATTTCACTGTATCCTTTCACTAAATATCAATAAGTAATCAAATGAAAAACAAATACAGTTTCTTCCGTGTCCATTATGGAATCCATAATGTCCTTCTTACCGCGTAAACATAAACAGATAATTACTCTGCAAAGGTGATCAATCGTATACATATATTCTCCACTATTTACCCCCAACATTAACCAATTAGAATAATTTTGTCGAACACGAGGATATTCTTCTTTCCAAAAGCTTGAACTCTTCAATCAAAAATAAAATCCTGACAAAATATCGACTCGAGATAAATTCGCTGAAACAGACACACTCCGTTTCCTCTTTTTTTTTTTATTTACTCAGACCACTGGCCTTTTTTTTCGACTCGTCGACGAAGCTTCGTCTACCGCCTGGAACTTCAAGAGTTCCCGTGTGGGATTTCTCGGCGTAGCCGTTCCACCTTTTCCCGGAAGCCTCTCGCGGTTTGCGTTCTCCGCGTTTCCGTCCCAACCAGGCTCCTCGAATGGTTTTCGAGAACGTGTCGAGTCGAAGGAAATGAAGACTGACGAGAGGAAAGCGTCAACGTCTTTTGAGGGGCAGGCGCATGGTGCTAGTTGGCCTTTGAAGGATCTGGGGGAAGGTTCTTACGCTGCATGAGGTCTTGAGAGAGACAGGTTGCGCGAGACTAACAAGATCTGACGTCACGATACGTATACTGATAATGTTGAATTTTGTCGCTATCGGTTATATCGTTGTATCATAAGTAGACAGCGAATTCTATATACATAGGTACTGTAAAGGCATAAAACGGAGATAACGAATAATATAAATTATAGATGAAGATTTCAAAAGACATTTTGCTTTTGCCTAATAAAATATGGTAACTGAAAACTTTCAGCGTCACACATATATGTAACGGTGGTAGCGAACGTGTTACCAGAATAGAATGAACGATTAATTTCTGTAAACTAGTATACAAGAACAATTCAGCGTCTCGATTCACAGGTTAAATAAAATACAACATTTGCATTTATACGAAATCCATATATTCCTAATAAACTCTCGTAGCAACAGAACCTATCGGATCCCTAAAGAATTTCCAGTGACCACCTCGAAGCTGTTTATTCTACTATTATTCGACATCAAAGTGTACGTTCTCAGGAACACAAGACCGATTCCGAAGGAATTTCATCGAAGAGCTCGTGAACTAGGCCGTCGCCGAGTTACAAAACTGCGAAATAAAATTCCGAATGAAATTCGTGGCCGAAGTCACGAATCCCATCGACGCTCAGCTCACGGAGGGCAACCGAAAATCCTCTTCTATTTCGCCGTGTGTCCCATACAAATTCCGTGCTCCGGCATGCCAGTGGGCGGTCGATTTCGATCGCGCCACCTAATCTGCACACAAAGCGGCCGCGCCGATAATAAGCTTAATCGACGGAACGCGGTCGTTTTAACTCTAATGGACAGGCCATACATGTAGGTTTCGCCATACATCGAGAGAGGCAGTGTGTACTCCATGGGATGACAATTTAGCCACGATATTGTGTGTAAGCGACACTGGAAATGCAAAGCCCACATGCGCACGCGGCTTTCATATGTTGATGCGATAACGCGACAGGTTTTATGATATGTCCAGCTAAATGCTTTGGAAATCGATGAAAACTGAGTCGAAATTTGTAGTCACAGAGAAGATCGAGAAATCGTGTTTTAGCGGAAATGTGGCGAACAACCACGGAACAGGACGGAAAACCACGATTTTTCGACGAAAGATTGCGGCTGCGACGGCATTCGTGTGGAATTAGACGATAGATTACGGAACTGTCGGACAGTTCGAGGGCCTCCCTGTCGAGGGCATGCGTCGAAACCTCTAATTTTGTCAGAAAATGATCGTTTTCGATTTTGCAGCTCTAGAAATTGTGAAAATTACCCACTTTACGGCATGTATGGCATAATGGGACAAAAATTGTTGAACGTATTGAATCTTAATGATTAAAACCGAAAATTGAAAAAATCATGGATCACTACGTTACCTGGACAGATGTAACATTCCTCCACTACAAAAAAAACCCCAACATTCAGTTAAAATTGCACTAAATAATAATGATCGAACTGCAATAATTAATTTATCTACGAGGTGTAAATTAATGAATTTTCGTGTACGAAGTTTTATGAAAGAATAGCAAATCCAAGCCGAATTTTGGCAGTTTCTGCCTATTAACCGTTTCGCTGGTCGTTCATTGATTCCTGCCGATTAAATGGTACCGGTCAAGTTGGTCGGAAATTCCCGTGAAACCGAACGGAAAATTTTTAATCGATACATCGACGATCCGCGCGACTTTCCCTCCACTTTCTCATCGTCCCGTGTAACTTCGCAACTTTTTCATTTCGCGTTCGCAGAATCGGAGCAATTTCGGGAAAGTTTTCCCTGCGAATGATAATGTCGGAGTTCCAGTACCATTTCCCGTGAGATATTCCGACCAGGAGCCAGCGCGACTATTACCTTATGTTAATCCCGTCGAATGGACGTCCAACTTCTTTCGATAACGAATGTTCGAATGATTGCGATTCAACCAATCGGGAATTAATTAATTCACCCCATGATTCAGCGTGTCCCGAGTATCCCGAGTCGTTGTTCGCGATCGTAACAGAATTGGGTCAAGTTATGCAGAAAACTACCAATCCTCAATGATCTGAAATTAAGTACATTTAGTTTGAAAATTTTAAGTTAAAAGAAAGTAGCTTTATTTCAATTGGATATATTGTATTCATTGTTATTTTACAATATCTTCCAATGTCTTATTTAATAGTGAGTAGTATAATTAATATTATTTTAAATTTTATACAGTTAATTTTAATTTTATTTTTAATCTTCTATGACTTGGTATAGTTCTAATAATTGTATAATGCAAGAGTTACATAATGGGCTGTAATATTTTTTCTATAATAAAGATCACAAAATTATGGGATTCGTACTTCATTTAACTAATTGTTTGTCGTCTTGACGTTTGGTAGGTTTCTGCATAACTAAGCCCAATTGACAATTAATAGCCATTAAGGCGAAGGTCGCTGTCACAAAATCTACCGCGTGTAATATCGTGACTTACGTTAACGTCGTCGTTGACAGGCCTCAGAACGACCAAGTCACTTGGTCCACGCAGGTTTGCAATTTCACCATCGTCCACCGTTAGACGATCAAATAGATCTTGATTGAAATGACAAATGACTGCTGCTCGAGGGAACAATCGCCCCCTCGTAAATACACGAATTCCCGTGGAAAGTTCAATTCAATTAGTGTTTCTCTTAATGGGACCCCGTTCGTTTCACAGAAAGTGCACTAATTATTCGCGGCTCGGTGTGCATCGCCGCGCCTCGATTATTTAAATTGGCCGTGTTAAGTGCTTTACAAACCGTGCGCGTCTCGCTGCTTCCCGCATCTCGTTACATGTTTTCGCGATAAAATGTATTGTTTCTGTCTCTCGCGAGTTTTCGATTAATCGATTGTTACAATTAGCTGGACATTCGTTATAAAAAGGTACTAACCTATGTATGTCGAAAAGTTAGTAGTTCAGGAGATATTTCAATTTAAATAATTCTAAAACACCACGACAATAAATACCTCATTCCATTTAAAAAAACAAATTTAACCTTTATATGACCTTTGCGCGTCTACTCACGAAAAAACTAATAACATCAGAGTATGCTCCACTCGATACCATTCAAGCCTCCGCTGAAACATTTTTTACTACGTGTAACAATAGAGAGAAAATGAATATGTCAAAATCGGGTGAGAAACCCTGTATAATAAACGTACACAACCAGTCGTAGACGCCAGGGGACGTTGTTTACCGCAGACCCGATGGAATAATAAGATGTTTTCTTAGACGTTCCACGATGTGGCCCACGAATCGCGATTGGTCGAGGAAATTGCACGGGGCCGCACACAGACGTGACGCTATTCAAACAGGAATCGAAGCGAATCGGAACGGGACGAGACGAAACGAAGCTGGAAGGGTGGAAGCGAAGCTCATTGTGGATTTTCGATTACCAGGGCCAATTATCGGTGCGGTCCACACGGAAACGTTCGACTCGCGAGGAACCACGCGTGTGGGCGGCTGTTGTTTGTTTTTAATCGAGCCTAGTTTCCTCCTCCCCCATCGTATCCCGTGGTCTCGTTAAATAATGACCGCATCAATCGTCCATGAATTATCGAGGGGCATCTCTCTTCTCCTCGCCGAAGACGCCGAGTTGTTTACGTGGCGAGAAATAAATTAGGTACAATCAGGGCACGAAGGCT